TGGGTGGTGGTGGGGGTGAAGAACACCAGGGATTGGTCATGTGAGAAAGTCCAGAGTTTTTTCTTTTTGGAGACTAGCTCCCATCCTTATCAGCTCCATCTCCTCTTCCTTTTCACCTTACAAAACAGGCTATGGAGATTTAAAAAGTAATCTCCTCATAGGTGAGAGACCTGACCTACAGTAAGCAATGCCCTTTCCCAGATCAGACTCCCAGATTGTCCTGTATGTAGCCGTTGTCTACTCAAGAGGTGTATAGAAGACTCAGAGCAGAGTCTGATAACCTCTAGAAGGGGAGCAGGGCCACCCAAGGAGAGATTCCAATGATTTCTTCATGTCTCATTGCAAAAGCAGATGATTGATTCCAAGCAATAAATACATTCATCTCCTCACCAAATCCCTCTCCTCTGAGATTCTGAAGTTGTCATGTCTAAGTAGATAAGTGCCTTTTCTCTGGTGACATCTTTTCTACCTGAGGCTAACTGCTGAACCTTAATGCCTTCTTAGGGCCTTCTTGCCTCTAGGCAGCATAAGTAAACTAAGAGGTTCTTAAACTGGGGAAAGAAAGGGAAGACAGAACAAACCACAGATTAGGAACAGGGATCCTTTTGGGGGGATAAGATTAGGGGAAGTGGCTGGCTAAGAGGCACAGGATATAACAAAAAGCATGATTTTGACTTTTTTTTTAGGCAACTGGGGTTCAGTGACTTGCCAGGGTCACACAGCTAAGTGTCAAGTATTTGGTTTGAGGCCAAATTTGACCTTAGGTCCTCCTGACTTCAAGGCCAGTCCTTTATCCACTTCACCACCTAGTTGCCCCTATGATTTTGACTTCTGAGGAATAGAGTACCATAATTAACTTGAAAACTTTCCTGCCTAGAAGTGGCATTCTGATTCTTTCTTTTTTTTTTTTTGCTTTTAGGCAATTGGGGTTAAGTAAACTTGCCCAGGGTCACACAGCTAGTAAGTGTCAAGTGTATGGTCTGAGGCCGGATTTGAACTCAGGTCCTCCTGACTTCAGGGCCCATGCTGTATCCACTGCTCCACCTAGCTGCCCCTGGCATTCTGATTCTTCCTGAGTTAAAAACACAAACAAGCAAACAAAAACAACAACAGCAGCAAAACTGTTGCTTTTGGATACCAATGCCTCAAAGAAGGGACTTGTGGGTATTTTAATGCAGGAAGAAGGTGAAGAAATATCCCTTAGGTATTCCTAGGAGAAAATGTTGTTGTTCTGCAAAGAAACTGACAACAGTGACAAAAGTTGGGCCTTTCTGCTAAATTGGTGATGGACAGTTAAACTTTTAGGGCCTAAAAGGGGATGCTTCCAGGCAAAGGTTGCCCTTTGGCCCAAGGCCATTGTCAAGGGGACCCATGCTGTAGCTGAACCAACAATAGCTAAATTATTTTATCGGTAACTAAATTATGAAGTTGCTTGACATAACAGATACAGAAAGTTCACCAATTTGAAACTTGAAACAAAGCCATTACCAGTCAGGTGACTTCTGTTTTTGTAGGGGTAAAGGGTGAAACTCTCTTCTCCTATGAGAGGGGTTAACAGATACCCTCTTCACTCAAGGGAAGGGAGTGACCAGTTTGTGCAGGTGTTTCAAAACTCCTTAATGATCAATCACAAAACCTCCAGAATATGCCAAGATAGGTGCAGAGGGAAGGGAGTAAGTAAGCCTCAGGGAACCAAAAAGCAACTGCAGTTTTCCCCAATTCCCTAGCGCCCAGGAAATTAACGGAATCGAGCATACACTTCTGGATAGGGCGCGTGTCCTTGTCCTCTATGCTGCGGAAGGTGTACCCAGGTCCGTGGCCTTCAACTGACGCAGTGGACCAAAAGCCTGAGAGTGTCTGGCCCAGTGAGAGACAGCCTCTTAACTGTCTGCCTGAAAAGTACCTACAAGCCTTGGTGCTTGGACAGCAACCCTAACTGTAGAGCAAGAAAGGAGAGAGGGGAGGCTTACATACCTTCCAGTCTTGGCTGGAGAAGAACTTGGGGTTAGGCAGTTTCCCCGTAGGGGCCACTAAAATGATGCGGTTAGGGGTTCCCAACATCACAACATGTAGGTCTTGTCCGCAAGGATTCAACCGAAGCCTTCTTTCAGCCAAAGACAAGGATTATTAGAACATCCATCATATTGGGCAGACTCTTAAGGAGTCTGAACATTAGTAAGGTAGTGGCTTATTGGCTAGATTATAAGAATCTAAGCAGTGGCTAGATTTCAGGTATCTGAGCAGTGGGTAGATTATAAGAATCCCAACAGCTTAATGGAGACAAGATGGACCTTATATACAGAAAGACTGTGGGAGGGATCTAGGAGTGGCCAAGTAGTTTGGGGTGATTGGAGGAGGGGCCTAAGGAAGATCTGAATGGGAGTGACCAGTAAACTGGGGTGAACAGAACTCCTGGGACCTGGACAAGGGAGCCTAGCCAGGATTAGGTGTGGGAAATGGCCAGGGGCCACAGGGAGGTAAGACAATGGAGGGGGGATTGGGTGTAGCCAAGATGAAAGGCCAGCTGATTGGATTATAACCTCAGGCTAAAGCCAGAGACTTGGCCAATGGGAAAGTCCAGGTTTTTCCTTTCTGGGACCCAGATCCCAACCCCATCACTATTAATAACTCTTCATTCAAAGGTATAGAGGGAGAAGTAGTTTCTACATAATGTGACCTCTCACAGAGTTCTTCAGAAGTTTTTGAAAGCTGACTCAACTTGGGAACAAAACAAAGCAAAAGGGAATGATCTGCACGCATTTCTAACCGGTGTCCTGGGGGTATTCACTTATCTTCTTGATTAAGGACTATAGGAGCATTCATGCATGCAAGTGCTCTTTGCCATTTTCCCTCTTTGCTCTGGAGCCAAGCTAAGCATTGAATCCCTTTTCCACAGGACAGCTCCTCAACACCTTGAGGACAGCTTTTATATTCCCCCTAAATTTTCACTTCTTGTAGGATAAATATCCCCAGGTCCTTAACCTGATCCTCATATGGTACAAGCTTTAGACCCTTTACCATTTTGGTTGCTTTCCACTGGATGCTCTCCATTTTATGTAATATCCCTTTTAAAATACAGCTCCCTGGAAACATCCCCAGTAGATGTGGTCTGGCCATACCAGAGAAGAATAAGCCTATTTCCCTCCCTAATCCTGAATGCTAGGGCCTTCTTACAGCAGCTCAAGATGGCATGAGCTTTTTTGGTGGCTATGTGGTTGTACAGAGAAATCAGCGAGCGAGACCCAGACATAATTTGAAATGTGGATTTATTAGCGCGCTGCAAGGGGTACATACCCAAATCGAGCAGCCCGATCAGGGACAGAGCTTGAGTTTATAGAGGCAGAGGCCAAAGAGGAAACGGTCAGGGGTTGCGTAAGCGGGAAGTTACAGAAGGCAAACAAGGGATTGGTTAATCCTGCCTTTGGGACCATATAAGGATCATGGAATAAGACTGAGATGGGTATCCTTCTTGGCGGGTTTTCTAAGGCAGGAACCTCTAAGGCGGGAACTCCTCCTTCCATGAATAAGGGCATACAAGGTGAAGGTCAGAAAACAAAATGGAGTTCAGCACTTCATCATCACGTATCACAAATCAACTGAGAAAAAGATCTCCAAATCTTCAGGCAGATTTTTTTAAAGGTGGCATCTGAGCCATATTTAAATTTTTTTTAAATTTATGTTATTTTATTTTAGGCAGTTGGGGTTAAGTGACTCACCCAGGGTCACACAGCTAGTAAGTGTCAAGTGTTTGGTCTAAGGCTGGATTTGAAGTCAGATCGTCCTGACTCCAGGACCACTGCCCCTGCAAATTTTTGTCTAGCTATTTTCCCTCTATGTTGGTTTTTTTTTGGTGGTGGTATTTTTCTTTTTAAACTTAAACGTAAGACATTAAGATAGATCTCTACTACATTTCATCTTAGAAGATTTGGTGCAATGTTGAGTTATTTAAATCCTGTCATTCACCATGTTAGCTATTCTTCTTCACTTTGTGGGCCTGCAAATTTTGCAGCAGAAATGCCTTTCAGGCCACTTGGCACAGAAGAGAGCTTCCCTCTGAAGGAAGAAGATCTGGATTCCATTTCTGCCTCTAAAATTTCCTGGCTCTGATGACTTTAGGCAAGCCCATTTTAATCACTGTGCTCCCCAGGGATAAAAAAAAAAACAAAACAAAACTGCGGAACTGCTGATCTGCAATGGTAGAGGTAGTTTTCTCACTGGGAGTTCCCTACACAGATAAAATCACAGTTCGAGACCAGTAGAATAAAATACAGTGAGTAAGTTTCTTTCCAAGTCATGGATAAAAAGGTGCTGTGGTGGAGAAAAGGTTTCTGCCTCTCCAGGAATTAATGTAAACTCAGAGGGCCTAGACTGAAGTACTACCAAGTCCTTAAGCAGTTTGGGAGGAAAGAAGGGCTTTAACAATAATTGCTATAGCTAACATTTATAGAGCATTTAAAGGTTTGCAATATGCTTTACAAACATTATCTCATTTTATTGTCACAATGATGCTGGGAGGTAGGTGCTATCTTTATCCCCATTTAACAGATGAGGCAGACAAGTGGTTAAGTGACTTGCCCTAGATCACAAAATCAGGTCCTCCTAACTCTAGGGCTAGTTCTCTATCTACTGTGCCAGCTGGCTGCCTCAAAAATGATTGTATAAAGACAGATAATGACATATAAAATACCTTGTGATTATTAAAAAAAAAATCAGGAAAACCTCTGGGTTGATACATGACACAGTAAGCTAATTTGAAAGTGAGCATGCCAACAGCAGGCCAGTCTAGTGGGGCAGGAGCCAATCCCAAGAGAGAGAATAGCTTGGCGGAGGAGAAGAGAGTTTCCAAAGATTATGTGTAACTATTTTTGAATTATTTCAATAGTGAGGAAGTTAGAGGGCTTTTGTTTGTTTAATTAAAAACAAGTCAAAGGACAGCTAGGTGGCACAGTGGGTAGAGCACTGGCTCTGGAGTCAGGAGGACCTGAGTCCAAATCCAGCCTCAGACAAGTCACTTAACCCTGACAGCCTTACAAAAAGCTCACAAACAAGGAAACAAAAAACCAAGTCATTATGTTGTACTGCATTTGTCAAAATGAATGAGTGATTTTGAGAAACACGACAGACATTATGACACATTTAGCCACTACACAAAGATTGTTTAACTTCAACTTGACATACTTCATGTTCAGATGCTTTAAAGAATGTGATAATATAACTTGGCTGTGTCACACACCTATACATAATGCCAATGATACTTGCAGATCCTACACACACCCAGATTTGACTGTTCTCAACTGAAACTTGAACTCGTCTGTACAATAATAAATAGCTACTGCCCTTGACAACGAGCAAGAATTCATTTTGAGTCTCAGACTCTTAGTTGACTCGAACTTCAACTTTAGTTTCATTGAATAAAATGTCTGAACTGAATTTAGATGGGCATTGTATTAAAAAAAATATATATATAATAATTTTGGCGATTGCTTCACTGGAGAGGGAGGGACCACATTTTGGAAAAATCTAATTTAGAGGGAGGAGGCCATTCCCTCTCTTTTTCAACCAACATTACTTCTTGGGTGAGTTGTTGATTGACATCAAGACAGGCAGCATGGTTTGTTGTTGCACAGATTTACTTGATAACTGTGGATAGCCCTGTCAGTCAACCAGAATGCAGCAACATTGAAGGAGAATGTCCTGTGTTTTCCCTTCCACTCCACTGACCTAGGGGAAGAGGAAGTCTCTGAAGTCAAAGAACTTATGCTCAAGTCTACTTCAGGCACTTTCCTGTATCTACTTGGGCAAATCATTTAATCTGCTGGGGTCAGATGAAGTATGAGGTACCTGATATCTCCAGGCTGATGATCCCCTTGATCCCATAGAATAGCTGATCTTACACCAATGCACCAACCCAGAAATCTAGGAAGGTAATTGCAAGTTACTAATATATCAAGCAAACTGAAAAAAGGCTAGCTCTTTTTTTAGCATCACCATACCCCATCATGTATGAATTTGTATCCCTTTTCTGTGTTTGTCTGTTTTTTGGAGGGGGACTGTTGTACTTAGATAGTTGGCTGACACATACCCGTTTTTAAATCATGAAGGGGGGGGTTGGTGATAGATTTGGATAAAGTGAATGTCAAAAGAAGAGAGGTCTTGGGAAGTGTGTGGAAATGGCAATGGGAAGCAGGGAGTATTCTGACTTCCCTCTAAACCTCCTTGGGACTAGGGCACAAACCCATATCTGATTGGGTGAAGGAAGCAGCAAGCAATTTGGCTAAGAGAAGACATCATTCACACCTCTGGGAGTTTTAAATAGCTAAGCTGTGGCTGAAATTCAGCAATTTGGGTTTAAAAGTAGAAGCAGTTTCAGGTCAGAAGGAGGCGATCCCTGCAGGGGAGAGGAGTTTCTCTGTTCTCCCTATCCAGATGCCAATCAGCCCCTTAGCTTTGAAAGATAGCTACTTGGCCAGGAGGAGCCACATTCAATTGGGAAGCAAGAGACCCAGACTTCAGTGTCACCAGAGGAAGGCCCTAGGTACCCATTAACGGTTCAGGGGGCCCTTTACTGGAAACTGTAAGAGACAATCAATCTCCCTCAGAGGAATCTCTAAGAGACAATGCATAATAATTGTACCTGTACAGTCAGGACAAAAGGGAACAATCATGCATGTTAACATCCATCAAGACAGCAGGTCTTGGTTTCAGCTGTCTGACTTCAGCAAGTCCTCTGCTTCTGAGAAATGGTTTTCCTTGGTAATGCTGATTCTAAGGTGTCTGTTCTAGACCACTGCCCACCAAGTGTTCAGTCGGGCCCACTTACACCAAAAGACTTGCATCCTGAGTCAACACTTTTGAAGATTTTCATTGCCCTGTCAGTTGTTAAGGATACCTGGGGTGGGCCTTTCCATCTCGTTTCTAGGGCAGAGTTGCTGAGGTGTTTCACAAATTCCACAGGTTTCAAGTCATGCAATGCTCCTTGCAGAGTGGTTCCCTAGGCAACGCTGCTCCAACCTGCTTGGGAGAAGACTTAGTATAACTTTGCCAGGGCATGACAAAACCTAATCACGCCGGTCTTCTGCAGAACTTATTACCTGTGGTGAAAGCCACTGCAAGCAAGGAAATAACAGTGGGGAAACTGAGTCAAGAGGATTCTGCCACTACCTTCCTGAGACTGTCCTCTATCTACCTGTGAGACTATAGCATTTGTTGGTGGCAAGATGACACTTCCTGTGAGCATCTCTGGGAATTTTCCCTTGGAATGGTGGACTGCTAATGTACCATTAAGGCAAACGGTTATATCTGGTTTCAATACTCGGATCAAATCAAATTAGAAATCAAAGAGGCCCCACTGCACATAGCAAGTTTCACTAATTACAATTTAAATTGGGGAACCATTGTTTCTCAAGTTTATGCTAAAATCATTAGGCTCAAGATACTGAAGTGAAATATGCATCCATAGGGCGTATTAGCTATGGACTAGGACTTCACCAAAAGATCTCGGTTTTGTTTCCACCTCTTCCCCCCCCCCCCCGCCACCCCCCCCCGCCCCTTCCGTGCATTCTGACACCAAAAAGCACTCAACTGTCTCTCCCTCTCCTTGCCTCTGTCTCTGCGTGTGTGCACTGAGGCTGGTTCGTTTGTTACCGAAAGATCCATATTCATCCTTTTTCCCTTCCAAGTGTAGGAGATGTATAACTGTGATCCTAAGATTTAGGTCTAGAAGGAAAGGACCTTACAAGTCACCTGGTCTAAACCACCTGCCCCAACTCCCGACGCCCCCATTTTAAACATGAGGAAACCAGGGAAAAGCAGCAACGGGCTACTTGATTCCTAAACTAGTGTTATCGGACTTTATGCCTCTACCTGACTAAGAGCTCGGAGCTGCGTTGTTTTTCATTTTGGTTGTGTCCAGTCTATTGCACGGATTAGGCGTTTTACAAAACGGTCACCTTAATTGAGTGGAGAGCAGCAGCTCCGGGTTCCCGGCAGACCCAAGGGCGCTTTTCCCACTAAATAGGAATCCCACCTCAAAGTGGGGTGTCAGCATCGCGTCGTCCCGGGGCTCTGTTGCCCGATCGGCAATCGTGACCCCATTAGCCAGAGAGTACCCTTCCAACGTGCGGGGAGACGGTGGTTGCTTCAGAGAGGTTCTGCGTCGACCCCGCCCCTAACAGCTTCCCAGGGATCAACAGCTTTCCCCCTCTGGCTATTGTCCTTGCCGGTGCAGTTATAACACATCGCGAGTACATGGCACCAGCTCCCAGCACGTTAACCCATCCTCGCCTGGACCCAGACTAGAGTCGCTGCCGACGCTACCCCGGAAAGCTTATCTAGGGCCCCAAACGTAGCACAACTCTTTAATGACAAGATGGGCGGCCCTAAAAAGGGCCTTTTTTTTGGGTAGGTGCGCTAGAGGCACAACGTCCAGGAGCATGTGACCAGCGGCTTAGCCGCCGAAGCCGTAAAGCGTGCGGCCCTGGCGTTTGAGGGCGTAGACCACGTCCATGGCGGTGACGGTCTTCCTCTTGGCGTGCTCCGTGTAGGTAACGGCGTCACGGATCACGTTCTCTAAGAAGACCTTGAGCACTCCGCGGGTCTCCTCGTAGATAAGACCCGAAATGCGCTTAACGCCACCCCGTCGAGCCAAGCGGCGGATGGCAGGCTTGGTGATGCCCTGGATTATCCGCAGCACTTTCCTGTGCCGCTTGGCACCCCCTTTCCCAAGCCCTTTCCCTCCCTTGCCACGGCCAGACATAGCGACAGACAAAGACGAGCGAACTCGGTACCCAACCGCCGGCAGCCACGGTATATATAGGGAGCGGCCTATCCCGTTGCCGGACCTCTTTGAGAACAGGAAAGAGGCCAGGGGGCGGGGCAGATAGGAGGTGGGAGACAGCCAGAGGGAAATAAGCAGTAAGCTCCACCCTGAAAGGTCTAATCTGCAGCTTGCTGTTTGCTGAGGGGAGGGAGAGGAGACTGGCAGTCTGTCCCGATTTTTTATTTTAGGTGTTTGGTTCCGGAAGACCCTGGTTCTTCAGTTCCATTCAGTTCTGTAATGATAATTAGTTCCCTTTGAGTTTCTGTTTTGCACGCCTTGCGTTGCCGTACACACACACACACACACACACACACACACACACACACACACACACTTTTTCTTTTTTCTGTAAGGAAGTTGTCTTGTTGAATAAAAGCTCTGCCATGCCCTAGCCATGACAATAATAATTGTCATGTAATGACAATACCTAGGAATTGCTCGAACAAACGAACATGACTACCAAAACAAGGGCAGTATTTCGAGTGATGGGTTCAAATGAGTCAGACAGCAGGATTGTCATCAGCTCTTCCCTCCCTCTCTCCCTTCCTCTGTCACCCTCACTCCTACCTCCATACAATCCTGACTTTACTTTTAAAAGATGGGGGGTGGGGATTGGGTTGGGGGAGTGGGTCAAGGCAAGGTGGTCGAGAGATGGAGGAAGGTAGCCCTTTAACCCTTCCCTTCACCTCTGAGGCCTCCTTCCCCCCCCCCACCTCAGCCTACCCCCGCCGGATGCCGACCTCAAGGGACTCTACAAATTTCAAAATCCAGAGCAACACCCCGGCCCCCCACACACACCGCTACCCACCATAGCCCACACCCATCTGATTAATTGTCAAGCTTAGTCTAGTCTACCTCTAACATCTCTTACAAGAACCCACCACAACCAGTTCACCACTTCTCTTTGGAACTATTGCAACAGTCTCATAACAGGTCTCCCTGCACATAACGTAGTTTCTTCCTTCTCTAAGGTTTTCCTACACACAGCTGCCAAATTAATAACAGTGAAGTCCGTACTTGACTGTATGTCACTCTCCTGCTGAAGAAGCTTCAGTGACTCCTTATTGCTCCATAGGATAAAGACAAAACTCCTCAGTTTGGCATTTAAAGTTCTTCATAATTTAGCTCTATGGGTCATTGAAACCGACCTAATTGCTCTCTCTCTTTCATCTGCACCATCTGCATCTGCAAGGGGAAGTCCTTGTGGAAAGATCACAAATGTCAGGGGTAATTTTTTGTTTGTCTGTCTGTCTATCTGTCTATCTGTCTATCTATCTATCTATCTATCTATCTATCTATCTATCTATCTATCTATCTATCTATCTATCTATCTATCTTTGTGACAGGAGACTTCCAGACATTTGCTGGGGTTCTGTTCCTCTGACTGAATCAGAGCAGCTAATAAGTTCTTGACTTCTTTTAATGATTATTTCACACTTCAAAAAGGTGGTGGAAGCAACAAAGGGAACTGCTTCTCTGGAGAAGGAGGTGATTGCTCTGGAGACTGGGGGTGGGGAAGGGGAGAGGAATGATAGGCACCTTGGTGGGGACACTGGGACCCCAAGAATTGGTGATAGTAAAGGAGAAGAAAGCCAGGCAGAGTTTTATGTGAGCCTTGGATTTTGAGAGAGAAGATTGCAAAGGGTTCAAGGAAAGGATGGATAGGACTCCTTGGCCTAAAATTCTTCAGAGGGGAAGTGAGCCTAGGAGGAATGAGCAGCTCCCAAGAATGAAATTCCTGAAGACCATGGAGAAGCCTAATTCCAATGAGGAGGAAAAGAGGGAGTTGTCAGGAAGAACCAACATGTATGCATAGGGAACTCACTGATGATCTTAGAATTAAGAAAAAAAAAGGTACAGAAGATGAAAGGGAGCAGAGAATGGCAAATGAATTCAAAAGTGCACCCTGATTCGACAGTAATAGTGTTAGGAGTGCTGAAGGTCAGAACGAATTGTGGCCACAAATGAAGGCTGAGGACACCAAAATAGGGTTTATTTTTAGCAATGTCCAGAAAGAGAAGAAGATCCAAGACTGATGGTTGGGGCACAGATTCAGGGAAGGGGAAGATTTTCAGACGAGGGAAAGCTAGTTAATTAATCTGTTGGATGTCAGCATTAGGATCCCAAAAGCCTTGGACAGCCGGGAGCAGCAGTGTGAATCTTAGTAAAGTGCAGTTCAATAGGGGAAAATAACAAGTCTCATACACTTGGGTTCAACAAACCAATTTTACAAATAGGTGATGGAAACCTTCCTTGTCTGGGCAGCAGTTCCTGCGAAAAGGATCTGGGGGCCTAAGAGGACTGTAGCCAGCTCAAGAGAATTCAGCAATGAGATATGGAAGCCAGAAAAGCTAAGTAGGTCTAAGTCAAGACAGGACTAGCGCCTACTCTAGCCCACTTCTGGCGTACTGTGTTCAGCTCTGGGTGACAGCTGTATTTTAGGAAGGTCACTGATAAGCTGAAAATCATTAAGAGCAGGTGCATGGGCCTAGAGTTGTTTTGGGGGAAAAAAAGTTAGCTTGAAGGCAGTATGTATATGTAAGTGTGTGTTGGGGGATGGGGGTGGGCTACAGGGCGAAAAGGGAGGAAGGGTGGGAGGCATCCAGGGAAATGGGGCAGGGGAGGGGAAATCTGGTGGCACACGATAGCTGCCTGCATCCTCCTCTGAACTCATGGTGGCACGAAGGAATAATTACACTTGTTCAGGTGCAAAGAAGCAGATATTGGCTTTTGTTGGGAGGGAAAGCTTCTTAAGCATCTAGAGCCATCCTTAATTGCAAGGAGCTGCTTCTGTGGGTGATCCCTCTCCCTAAAAAGAAGGGATTCCCCTCCCCCCCAACAAAGGCTGCATATGGGCACTTATTGGGGTATGTGAATTCTTGCCCTGGTACAGTTTGGATTAGGTGGCACCTGGGATCCATTCCAACTCCGAGATTTTGTGATTTTTTTTTTTAGTTGAATCAAAGGGAATTAAGGAAGCAGAACGGTTGTGGTGGTCTCTTCACACACTCCCCCCCCGCCCCCGGCACTCCCTCCCCTTCCCACCACCGACCCGCCCCCATCAAAATCTGGGTCTTTCTTAGGTACTAAACGGGTTGAAATGCAAAAGATGCAACTTCACTCCCTCAAATTACTGGTCTAAGGATCTTCCAAAGCCCCTTCTGTCCTGAATGGAGCTGCCCGTTCTGGATGCAAAATCCTTGCTGCGTCTCATTCCCATGAATCCTTATGCCGAAATCGCGGAAGAGCCTGTGCTACTTCCTTCACTGAGAAACACGAATTCGATGTAAACGTGAAGAGAATCATTTTCGTTTTCGAAGAAATGAGAAGTCAAGGGTGTGCATAACCATACTCTGGAGGAAAGGCCATCGGGAGCAAAAGGACAACTTTCGAATTTGAAGGAAACACAGGGAGTTGTCTCCATTTGACTTGAGTTTTGTGGAGAGTTAGGGGATTGGGAAAGGCTCCGAGGGCAGTATTTGAAGTTGCAGAGAGAAGTTCAGCGGCACACGAACCCAGAGTCTTGTCGCTTTAGATTCGGATAGAAAAGGCTCGATTGCGTGCCGGGAATTTTTTTTTATTTCTCTTTTTTCCAGGGGTAAGAAACACAACCAATGAAGGAGAGCCGAGTGACTGTAAGCGCTGAGAAGGCGGGTTGCACAGCGCACCAATCACAGCACGACTCCCTCGTCTATATATACTCCAGGCCCAGCGTTCTGGGTTGTAGAGTGTGTGGTCTGTCTTTCCTTGTGTTTTTTTTTTTGAAGTTTTGGTTTTGTTTGTTTGTTTTCACTGTTTGAGACAGAGCGGAGAAGCATGTCTGAGACTGCGCCCGCCGCCCCGGCTGCTCCGGCCCCCGCGCCGGCTGAGAAGACTCCGGTCAAGAAAAAGGCCAAGAAGCCTGCCGGGTCCGCAGGGGCCCGGCGCAAGGCTGCAGGACCCCCAGTGTCCGAGCTGATCACTAAGGCGGTGGAAGCCTCCAAAGAGCGCAGCGGCGTATCCCTGGCTGCCCTTAAGAAGGCGCTGGCGGCCGCCGGCTACGATGTGGAGAAGAACAACAGCCGCATCAAGCTGGGGCTCAAGAGTTTGGTGAGCAAAGGCACTTTGGTGCAGACCAAAGGCACCGGTGCTTCCGGCTCCTTCAAGCTCAACAAGAAGGCCTCTGCTGGCGAGGGCAAAGCGAAGGGCAAGAAGACCGCTGCAGCCAAGGCCAAGAAACCTGCTGGTGCTGCGGCCAAGAAGCCCAAGAAGGCGGCAGGGACAGCAGCTGCCAAGAAAAGCGTTAAGAAGACGCCGAAGAAGGTCAAGAAGCCGGCTGCGGTGGGAGCCAAGAAGGCGACCAAGAGCCCCAAGAAGCCAAAGCCGCTAAGCCGAAGAAAGTGGCCAAGAGTCCGGCTAAGGCCAAGCTGGTCAAGCCCAAGGGAGCTAAGCCTAAGGCAGCGAAGCCGAAGAAGGCAGCGCCAAAAGAAAAGTGAAGGGTGCTACGGGAAAATTGCGCTTTCAGAAGCCTCAAAGGCTCTTTTCAGAGCCACCCACGGTCTCCGAGAAAGGCTAATAACACTCAGCAGGCCGCGCGTCGGGGAAAGGGGAAAGGGGGTGTAGAGAACGCACATGGCAATGTGGGGAAAATGTGCTGGAGAAACACACACTTTGAGCCCTTTTTTCCCCGTGATGGGGCGGGGCCCTTACTAGGAACGGTTGTATACACGTTTACCTCCGGAGCTGCAAATCGCTCTTTGTTTATAATGAGACTTCCGTGCCATCTAGTGTACATCTTGCGGAGCAGCAGCCCGTTCCACTTCACTGGCAGCGCGGGACCCTCTCGTAGCTCCACACTGGTGTCGGGCTGCTAGCGGGGGGCACTTTTGCAGCCGGCCGCTCGCTTGCCGAGTACTTTGTACTTCCTGGGGACTTGAGGGCTGGGACTGGCTGGCTGTCTCACAAAAAAAACCTGCAAGACAGGAGAAGTCCTGAGGGCCCGATGCCTCAAAT